GTTGCATCACATTTCATGGTCAACTCCTCAACTGGAGTAGTACAGGACTGCCACTAGTTTGGACTATGAATTTGTTCAGAAGTATGAAATTACAGTGACTGCCACTGACGGTGGAATCGATGAAAGATTGAGGTATGGCATACAAACAAAATCTCTACCGTGTAAAACTGGTGTTGTCCTGCAGTTCAGCTACTGTTACTGTGACAGTGTCCGATGCAAATGAACACACTCCCCAGTTCTCCAGCAATGACTACACTCTCCTTCTCCCTGAAAACACTCTGAGGAACAGCCGGTTCTCTCTGTTGGAGGTGACAGACATGGACAGTGGGGACAATGGAATGCTCTCCTTCTCTGCCGATATCTCAGGTCTGCTATATAAACTTTTCGTTAATCCTGTATGATCATTATGTGAAGTATCCACTGACTGAACTAGTTTATGTAGCTGAACAAAGCTTTTCTTCTCTTTAGCTCCACTACAAGTAGACAGCGAGACAGGAGAAGTTGTATTGGTTCAGTCTCTCGACTACGAGGCAGACACCAGCTACATGTTCACTGTCAATGTAACTGATAATGGAGAATTCCCTAACACAAACTCCACTAGGGTAAGTCTCTCAGACGGTGTACTGGATGGAGTAGATACTTGACTGGTTGCAGGTCTTAGTTCTCGTGGAGGATGTGAATGACAACAGTCCAGTCTTCCAGAACACTAGCTACTCCACCACTATCCCAGAGGCCAACACCACCTCACCCTATGACATCCTCACAGTCAGTGACTTCTTCTCTCGCCCACTGTCCACAGGCCAACCAAACCTTCTCACAGGTTAACGCCACTGACAGAGACTCCAACGCGTTAGGGAGTGTCAGATACAGCTTGTTGTCTGGAGCCAGCCCCCTCTTCTATATTGACAGAGGAACAGGTTAGCACAACATTGCTCAATCCCTGGTTACCTCTCAGCTCTCTCTTTCTATTGTCTAGGACAACTTCTGGTTGTGGAGAATGTCGATTTTGAGTCACTTAACCCAGTCCAAGGAGCCAGCGAGGTCCAGCTCCAGCTGACGGTTGAAGCCAGGGATGGTGGAGGCCTCGCCTCTACTGCTTTCATCACTGTGACTGTGACTGACGAGAATGACAACTCCCCGGTGTTCATTAATGCTCCATACACTGCTAGTGTTAGAGAAAACACAGCTCCCGGGCTGGAGGTGACCGCGGTAAGTTAAACTGCAAGCCCTAAAATGTGGAAACTAAGACGTGTCATTGGCAGGTGAGGGCAAGTGACAGGGACAGTAATGAAAACGGAGTCGTGAGGTATTCTATTGACAACAATGAAAACTTCTCCATTGATGAGATCACTGGAGTCATTACCACGGGAACTGTGGGTCAATCCAGTTCTTCTATGCTCTATGACCATGAGTCTGATACAAAGGTGTACAGTCTGACAGTCTATGCAACAGGTGAGGTCTTCTAGTTTTGGCATGCAACGTAAAGAGTAAGACCTTCCCTTTTAGACAACGGCACAGATGCAAGAGTCTCAGAAACTTTAGTCACAGTGACAATATTGGACACCAATGACAACAGTCCAGTGATAGAGTCAGTAGATGGGCAGATTGTGGCAGTCCCTGAGGATGCTGGTAGAGGCACACTAGTAGGGGCTGTCATCAATGTTAGAGATGATGACGATGAAGAGAATGGACAGGTAATATTGCTTGTGTTTTTGTCTATAGAGTGAGACTTAGCTACCTGTTCAAAAATTATACCTCAAGTAGGGGCTGGGAGCACCAATCACTAAGTATTGAGAAAATGCATTTCAGGGCCTGGAACTATATTGCAGAGCCTCTTAAGAATGCCTTGTGTTGAAATTTTCTATGCAGGTGAACTTCACTCTGTCCAATGATGGAGGTCTGTTTGAAGTGAGTCCATCTGGTGAAGTCACTCTTGCAGGAGAACTGGACAGAGAGACCCAGGCAGAATACAACATCACCGTCACTGTCACTGATAGGTGTGCCCCCACCATTACTGCATGTTCCACTCCTTTAGTGCCACTCTCTACAGAGGCCAGCCACAAAGAACAGCTCTGACGTATATCTTGGTCAGTGTGGAAGATGTAAATGACAATGCCCCAATCTTCAGTCAGGTGAGACCTAATCCATCATCTAATTTCTGTTCTTGTATGAACCAAAAGTCTGACACCCAGGAAATCTGCACAGCAGCCATTTCAGAGAGGGAAGGTGGAAACGCACTTGTCGCCCAACTCAGAGTTGAAGACAGAGATTCAGTGAACAATGGAGCAGAGCAACTCTCATTCAACATTGTAAATGACCAGCCAATGTTCATTGTTGAGGGGATGGAGGATGGAGGCTCATGGCTGGTGAAAGTAAAGACTGCAACGGGAAGTGTGAGTGTCTCAATGTTCTTCTCTGCCTGATGTTCATGGTCTCTGATCCACAGGAGTTTGACTATGAGACTGGGCCTCGTTCGTACCTCCTTGTGATCGAGGCCAGAAACATGCGCTCTCCTTTCCTGGCTGCCACTACAAACTTCACTATCATTCTTTTTGACATCAATGATGAGCTTCCAGAGTTTTCCACTTCCCCATACACCTTCTCTGTGAGTTGCTAACAGAGACGTACACTGCTAGCAAAGAACCCTTTGCTTACCCTCAAGGTGCCAGAGAATTTCCCTGGTGGTGGGACAGTGGGTTCCATACTGGCCACTGACCCCGAAGAAGGAATGGTATACATTCACTATAATATAGCACTATGACCGTTTATAATGCAAGTTCTTTGTTAGGTGTCTTATGAATTTGCGGATGGCACACCAGACAGCACCAAAAACACTTTTTCCCTTCACACCAATACGGGAGTACTGACTCTCAAAATTCCCATCAACAGTTCAATAGAGTTTTCAGTTGTGGCAAGAGATGGAGGAAATCCATTCCAGATTTCTACTGCCAGTGTCAGGTGAAAGCTATAAAGCCCCTCCAAACCTCACATGATTAGTATTATTCTCAAAGGGTAACTATCGAGGATATTGATGAGCTTGCACCAACGTTCACTCGAGCCTTATACAGCGAAACCGTGTTTGAGAATAGGGATCCAGCAGAAGTTATTACTGTAAGTCTCTCTACACCTTAGAGAACCACAGAAGTCATGTTTTCCTTTTGCAGGTCAGAGGTACCAGCACTGACTCCAGTGCCATCACCTTCAGCATTGTGGCTGGTGACACTCCTGACTTCTCCCTTGACTCCAACACTGGAGTCCTTAGTACAACACGTTCTCTTGACAGGGAGGCCATTCCTCTATATATCTTCACTGTACGGGCTGAAGATGGTATGGGCAGAGCCAGTTACACTCAGGTCTGTGCTTTACGATAACTATATTCCCAAGCATGGCTATCTTTTTTATGTACAGGTGATTGTCACAGTGGACGATGAGAACGATGTCACCCCAACATTTCCACTGTACTCTTACACATACTGCATTAAAGAGTCGTCAGCAATCTCCACTACCCTAGAGCCATATGCTAGAGCAACCGACGCTGATGTTGGCAGCAATGGAATCATTGAGTACTTCCTTCAGTCATCCTCTACTCACCCATTCCGAGTAGACCAATCTTCTGGAGTGGTTTCTCTGGATGGAGAATTGGACAGAGAGACCAAACCATCATACACCCTCATTCTAGAGGCAGTAGACCAAGGTCCTCCCAGCAAAACTGGCACCACTGAGCTCAGGTCAGTGTGTCCTCTCTATAGCTAGTATGCATGGGTTATCTGTTACTGCCAAACAGGATAAAAGTGGATGATGTTGACGATGAACGTCCAATCTTTGATCAAACTTCGTATTCTGCCACTATCCTTGAGGTACACATGTTGCCTTCATTGAGTCACAGTGACAGTGTTTTGTTTGCTATTAGAACTCTCCTGAGGGGGTGTCTGTTGCTGTTATAAGCGCCAACGACCAAGACACCAATTCTCTCAATTACTATATCACTGACGGTATTGATAGCCACTCAGCTCCAGAATTCTTCTCTCTAATTCTATGATGTCCCCAGGAGACCCACTTGGGCAGTTCTACATGGACCCTCTCTCAGGCCTCATAACAACAACTGCTGTCTCTCTGGACAGAGAAACCGAGGATGAGTACAGACTCAAGGTTTCTGTCACTGATGGCTCCAGAATGGTAATTCTCCACATTCCACAGATAACATAACTGCAACTCAGGGCAAACAGAGCACTGTACCAAAATCTCTGTCTCTCTCTATATATATAGGACGAGGGCGAGGTAGTGGTTGTCATTGGCGACCTCAATGACAATAGTCCTTTATTCACTCAAGAAACATATATCGTCACTCATGATGAAAGCAACAGCAATGATTTGGTTGTCACCAAATTAACTGCAAATGACGATGACGAGGGGAGCAACGGGAGAGTAGAATATCGTATCACTGGCGGCAACCGTAATACCATCTTCTACATGGACTCCTCAGTATGTTGCTTGGGAGACAAGAGAGAAAGTTTGATACAATTGTTTATCCCCAGGGGCAGGTGGTGGCAAGGGCAGGGAAACTTGACTACGAGACAGATCCAATGCACACTCTGACCATCGAAGCCATTGACCAGGCCTCTCCAGAAAGCATGCAGAGGTTCTCTACTGCAGTGGTAAGATGAGTGATAATGGTGGGAGTGGCAGCTGATCTTCTCTCCCAACTCAGGTGACGGTACTGTTGAGAGATGTCAATGACAACCGACCCATCTTCTCTCAGAGTCTGTACAACACAAGTCTCATGGAGAATGTGGCCATGGGAACAACTGTTGCGGTTGTCTCAGCAACAGATGGAGACTTGGGAACCAATGGACAGATCAGTTATAGACTCGAAGGCTCGTCAAGTGAGGCTCCTCTCCCAGTGTCTTTAGGTTGTCCTAACCATTCCTTTTTGTCCCCAGGATTGTTCACCATCAACACCACTAGTGGAGTTGTTAAGGTATCAGGAGATGTGGATTATGAGATGGGACAGGAACATGAGTTGAGTGTGGAAGCCAGAGACAATGGAGACCCCAGACGTAGCAATGTGGTCACACTGCATGTTGATGTGATCAATGTTGAGGATGAGGCACCTCAATTCCCCATCAGTTTCTACACCACCAGTGTAGATGAAGGTATAGCGGGAGCTTTGTGATAGACTGGGTTTTGACTGTCTGTGCTCCTTACAGGTGCTCCCAGCTCAACGTCAGTGCTGACAGTGTCAGCTACTGACCCTGATGGAACTGACTCCTTGGTCTACGACATCATCCAGTCTTCAAGCAATGTTGGCAGCTCTTACTTCAGGATGGACCCAGTCAGCGGAGAGATCTCCACTACAGGCACTCTGGACAGAGAGACTGTGCCTGTCATAGACCTTGCAATCATTGCTACTGACTCTGCAGGCCACAATGTAACCTTCCATTTACTATTATAAAATAGTTCTTATGCCCTTGAATATTTGGCGGTATGTAGCATATTTCTTTAACCATCACTTGGTGATTAACTCTGCACAGGATACTGCAATAGTCCAGATCACTGTTGGAGACGTGAATGATAATTCTCCTCAGTTCAATGCCGAGTACTACACAGCCTCACTCAGGGAGAACAGTCCTGTTGGGACCACCATTGTTCCAGTAAATCCCCCATTATCTCCATGCATGTCTGTGTGGAGTGATAATGTCTTCTTTTAGTTCTTTGATGGAAGCAGCACGAGAGTGGAGGCCAGGGATGCAGATGGACCGGGTGTGAACTCAGTGGTCATCTATGACAAGGAAGGAGAAGACCAGGACAAATTCTCCATTGACAAGGACACAGGCGTTGTGACAGTTGCTGCAGGAGCTGTCCTGGACAGAGAGGTTGACCAAACTCTGGAGCTCATCATCACTGCTGAGGATCGTGCCACCTCCCCAAGGATATCCCGTATTACCATGACAATCACCCTTGAGGATGAGAACGACAACATTCCATTCTTCATTCCTCGGTTTGGCTACTCTTTAACTGTACCAGAAGACACAGCAGTGGGGACAGTCCTAACAATTGCTGTTAGTCCTCTTCCTCTCGTTTCCCACCACATCTAGTCTCCCTCTGCAGGAGGCAGTGGATCCTGACCTGGCAGGCGATATCTCCTTCACAGCAGGCACCTCCTCCCCTCCACACAAGCTTTCGTGTTTCTCTATCAACAGGTATACACCACTAGCCGCTGGCTCTCCCTTAGTAATCTTTTCCTGTCCACAGTACAACTGGAGCCATTACTCTAGAGAGAAGCCTGGACCGCGAACAAGATCCCTTCATTTCTCTCATGATTAGTGCCCATGACAGCGGCACACCCAGTGAGGAGATAGCCTCTACTTTCACATCCATTGCATTTGTGTACATCCCCTCAGGTCTGGCTGCCAGCACTATGGTGCAGATTACAGTCACTGACGTCAATGACAACCAGCCAGTCTTCTCCCAGGAGACCTATATTGCCATGGTTTCAGAGGCCCACACCATTGGTGCATCAGTCATCGCGGTGAGTATTGGCAGTTGCTCTGGTAACTGATCCGTGAGTGGTGGTGTGTTGCAGGTTGTGGCTGAAGATCCTGATTTTGGGACCAGTGGTCAGCTGGAGTACAGTGTAAACAGCAGACAGTTCTCCATCAACAAAGATACAGGAGAGCTAACAACAACTGTGGCTCTGGACTATGAGACTCAGAGACTATATGATGACATCACCATCCTGGTACGTATGTGTGGCTTTTAGTGGGTTAATATTTCAGCCAATGACACTTTTTGTAAAGTGTGAAGAAGATTGGCTCTAATGGGTTACAATTCAACAAGCAAAATGTTGGTGAATTTATATATAAAATGTTGCCATTTTGTGCTCAATTGGACACTAGCTTAATCTAGGCCAGCAGACTATTGCAGCACAACATGAAGAGCGGCTTTTGTTACCAGATCGGCACATAACAAGTGCCAAAAGTTTAAATATAGACCACTTCACCCAAAGAGTAAACATACAACACTCACATGTATTCTTACCTATCAATACACACTCGTGAGAAAGCTAGCTCCACTTACATACGACAGTTTATACTGAATACCAATAAGTTTTTGGTATAACCCTTACAGGCATGTGACAAGGATCCTCAGAGCAACTGCTCTACTGCCAGTGTGAGAGTTTACGTGATGGACTTCAACGACAATTCCCCATCTTTTGACTTCTCACTGTATCGCACGGACATCTGCCACACCCACCCAGTGGGTGAGGTATTCATACAGCCTGTTGCCATTGACAAGGACTCAGGAATATACTCTCAAGTGACATACTCTCTGGATGATGTGAGGAACACACAAGTATTTTAGTGACATTTACCATTTCCTTCTGCAGGAAAGTGGACTGACATCAATCTCGCCAGACACCGGGCGAATGTTCCTTCGTAGAAATGTGACATCTGAGGAAATAGGGTTAGAGTTCACTGCTGTCATTACAGCTAGGGATGGGGGAACCCGCATGCTCTCTGCTGATACTGAGGTTGTTGTGCGGGTCCTTGACTGCACAACTGACCCATTCAGGTTTGCATACAGATTCAGCCCCATTCTCTCCCAGCCAGTTGTGATCCCCACGTTCACAGATTTATCGTCCCTTTCTTTGAGGGTGAAGTGACAGAAGAGCAGACAGGAAATAGCGTAACAGTTGTTATTCTCTCTGATTCTTCTGGTGGAACCCTAAGTGGTGGAATCTCGACAGAGCCAGGCCAAGCTCAGGGGTTGTACTTCAGTCCTGAACTACCACAAAACCCATTCGGTCTCGCTGGTACAGCTCTCACCGTCACCCAGCCTGACCTACTGGATCGAGAGACACGTGGTTTCTACACATTGCCAGTTATTGCTACTGGAAGCATGGCCTATGCCACAGTCAGTGATAACCCATTATTCACAGGATTATTTGAATCTCTGTACCACATCCAGGTCACAGTCAGAGTGATGGATGTGAATGACAACCGTCCACAGTTACAGCTGCCTGCTCTCTTGTTCACTGTCCCTGAGAATATCTCTGAGCCTGTCTACATCACCACTGCTGTTGCCAATGACGATGATACTGGTATAGATTTCAATAGACAGCCTTATAAGAATTTCTTCTATATCTACTTTTCATATAATTATTTTTCCACAGGAAACAATGCTGATATTCAGTTTAGCTTCACCGTTACCAGTGACAACTTTAGCATCATGGGAGTACTGGAGAGGTAACGACGTTGAGGGAACTGGACAGGGAGGAGATGGACGTGCACCAACTGACAATTCAGGTACCACAGTTTCCATTAATCCCTGTCACCAATTATTATAGTACCATACACTTGTTTCAGGCAACAGATGGAATGTTCTCAGAGGAGGGCACTATCACAGTGACTGTTGCAGATGTCAACGACAATCCCCCAGTGTTTGGACGAGACTCATACTCAGTGGCGGTGCTTGAAAATAGACCTCGAGGTACGTCTACATTGGCTGGGCTGGACTAGGTACAAGTGACGTGTCTCTCGCAGGTACCAGTGTATTGACTGTGGAGGCCACAGATGAGGATTTGGGAGAGAATGCTACCATTTCATTCTCCATTGCTGAAGGAGATGAGAGGCTCTTCACTGTCGACTGTAAGTCAGTCCTGCAGCGAATCACTCATCGACTAGTCCTTCCCTTCAGCCGAGACTGGACTGGTCAGAACATTGGTTGAACTAGACTTTGAGAGCAACCCTTGGCATTCGCTGATCGTTAGAGCTTCTGATGGTGGAGCTTCTTCTCTGTCAAGTAAGTTTTCTCCCTCTCCATGGGCGGGTCAGGCACAAGCTTATCTCTCGTTCCAGGCTTTGCGGTGATCAATATAACAGTCATGGACCTCAATGACCACATCCCTACTTTTTTGAATCCCTTGCCTTCCATCGAGATCTCTGAGAGAGTAGACATAGGGGAGATTCTGACAGATTTTGATGTATCTGATAGTGACAGCGGTGATCTTGGTGAAGATGGAGTCAGATTTGCCATTGTTGCAGGTACAGTCAGCCTCAAATTAATTAGACAGGTACTCATCCTTTCGTCTCTTGTTCTATTCCTCTGGCAGGAGATACTGATCTGTTCTCAGTGGATAATGTCACTGGTGTCTTGAAGACGGAGGCCCTCTTGGACAGAGATGAGGGACCAGAGTGTCATTTCCTCACCATCCAGGCAACAGACTCTGCTGGAGACAGCTCACTCTCCAGTGTGACTGAGGTACAATTGCCCTTCTCCACAGTTCAACAGGTTGACTCAATCACATCTGGCTGCAGATTCAGGTGTGCCTCATGGACGTAAATGATAACTGCCCAAAGTTCATTCAACCATCATTCAGTGGACAGGTATAGCTATCATTGTAGTCTGTCAGTCTCTTGAATGATGTCATTGTGCTCCCTAGATACCGGAGAACCAGGTAACTGGCCAGCAGCTGCTGCTAAGAGTGCGGGCCACAGATGGCGACAGTGGTTAGTTGGAACAATTCATTCCTGAGTAGGAATTATGAGATTGGCTGACTCAGGTACCAATGGAGCCATTGAGTATGGCCTGTTGAGGGATGGTGTAGTGTTTGACATCGATCCCACGACTGGATTCCTCTCTCTCACCTCATCTCTGGACACAGAGACGACTCCCAGGTACAGTGGACAAGCATCCGACACTGCAGAAGTCATTTGTTCTGTTTTAGCTACGACCTGGTGGTTGAGGCCTGCGACCGTGGAGCAGGGCCATGCTGCACCAACACAACCATCACTGTGGATGTTATTGACGTCAACGACAACAGACCTGTGATCACAAACATCAATACAGACTCCTGTATCGATGTCGTTGAGGTAAGAAGATTCAGTTGTAGAGGTTGTTGGTTGAACTGGTGTGGTGTTTCCAGACCAATGAGGCATACAGTTGTCAGGGGAATGTACAGGAAATTGGAGATGTGGTGTTCGCAGTCAACGCCACTGATAGGGACAGTGGACTGAATGGAGCAATTCTCTTTGAAATTGTTGGCAGCAGCCCCTTCTTTGACATCTCCTCCAGTGGAGTGATCACAATAGCTGGCCAGCTCGACTACGAGACTCAGAACACACACCAGGTACTCTACCACCTCCCTCTTCCCCTCTCACACTCAGTTTCACATTTTAGCTGTACATCAATGCCTTGGACCAAGGCCAGCCTCTTTCCCTCACGTCTGAGACCAGGATCCTCTGCATCAACGTAGTGGACATCAATGACAAAATCCCCTCCTTCCCTGTTGTAAGATGTCTTGCTTTCTCATGTTACCTCCACTTTCCCCTTGTTCCTGTTTTCCACACAGACCCAATATAACATGACCCAGAATGAGGGCACACTGCCTGAAGCAGCCATTGTGAATGTCTTTGCAAGAGATGACGATTCAGGAGACAATGCAGCTGTCTTTTACTCCATCACCAATGGAAATACCTCAGTCTTCAGAATCAATGAGGTAAAGGGAGAACCAATCCTGTAAATTCTGTATAAGCTACACTTTCCCTTTTCTTCCAGGAAACTGGTCAAATGTTTCTGCTGGAGGAGTTAGATTGTGAGACGACCACTAGTTTCTCTCTCACCATCACAGCCAACAACTCTCTGAGTACCTGTCCCCTCAGCAGCACAGTCCAGGTCCTTGTATTGGTGGGTGATGTGAACGACAACCCTCCAGTCCTCAGCCAAAACATGTACAACACCACCATACCTGAGAACGTGGCACTCTCTGAAGAAATCCTTCGAATTTACGCCACAGATGCAGATAAGACTGTGAGCCATTCCCATTCCCACATTCTACACCTAGACAAGCTACAAATCTTATTCACATTTCCACATTAAGACTAGTCTCATTCCCATCTTCACCTTCCACATTGAGACTACTATTCAAACATTCCACAGGCTCCAAATAACGAGCTGCAGTATCGTCTTCTGCTGGGAGCTGGCTCTAATCCATTCCATCTGGATGATCAGGGGCGGTTGACAGTACAGAATGCCCTGGACGCAGAGGGTCTATTCGGACTGCAGTACTCTGTAACTTGACTACACTTGTCCATGCTCAACTGGTACCACACTCTTTCCCTCCAGTTCTCAGTGGAAGTAAGGGACAGTGGAGAGGTGGTTATGAGAGACTCAGCAAATGTCGTAATCTTTGTGGAGGATGCAAACGATGAGGCACCGTTTTTCTCTCAGAATACATTCTCGTAAGAATGTCACATTTGTTTGTCTTACCTCAGCCAAAGTCCACTTTGTGCAGTGTGTCTGTGAGTGAAAGTGAGGACACTCCGTTCCCTCTCCTGCCTCTCTTCTTCTTTGACGATGATGTTGAACCAAGCAACAGGGAGAGTTTCATTACCATTGACTCGGTAACCGGCTACCACACTCCGACCAATAACTTTGTCACCCTCAGAGGTATATACCCACATGTAGGATAATCTTTGTCACACGACTGTGAAATAATGCAGGGTCTGATGCATTCTCTGTGAACGAGAACAACACTCTGGAGCTGCGACGGAGTTTAGACCGTGAAAACATTTCCTCGTATGGCGTCACTGTAGCCGTTACCAATACTGCTGACTGCTATGAACAAGGTTATAATCAAGAGGGGAAAGGAAAAGAGATGATGTTCTTTTCCCTCAGATGGTGGTCAGTGCTCTAGTTTTGCTGTTATTGAGGTGGCAGTGATAGATGTGAATGACAACTATCCTAGGTTCAGCTCCATATCATATTCTGGAGGTATGTAGGTATCTATGGTAATATTTGTGGTTAAGTGGGGTGGTATATATATATGAATGGTCGCCCACTAATGGGGGTGTATAGTCACATCCCAAACAATTATATCTAGCATCAAAGGCTGGTAAGGTCTGCACTCCTCTTGCAATACCCTTCATTACCACAAAATTGTGTTCGGGATTTGCAATTGAAGAGTAAAAATGGCTTGCGCTGCACACATTGCCAACCATTAACAGCTTGTCCATTGTATTCTGATGTGTGTCATCATCATTTTCTGACAGAGGTTAGCGTGACAGCTTCAGTTGGAACCTCAGTTCTAAGAGTGGACGCCTCAGATGCAGACACTGGCAATTTCGCAGCAGTGAGCAGCCGATTACATCATTTGGGGTGTGGCAATCTCACTTCCTCTGCAGGTTCGCTACAGCATCACAGATTCTCTGGATGGTAGGTTCAGAATTGATGAGGAAACAGGAGTTATCCTCACACGTGGCAGTTTTGAAAATCTTGACGGACAAATGCTCTCACTGACAGTAGGCAGCACACCAGTTGTTACCCCTCATATGAATGAAACCCACCTTCTCCTCCACAGGTGTTGGCCTCAGACAACCCTGACAGCTCTCCTTCACTTACTAGCACAGCTACTGTCAATCTTGTCATTCTCAATGACTTCCAGAGAATCAGTGTTCTCTTTAGCTGCGGGATTGACACCATTGTCCAGTCAGAGGCAGAGATCACAAGGTGATAAATGATGACATTATTTTCTCTTCCACTATTTTCATATTGTCTTCATTTTGTAGGACCATTGCCAATGTGAGTGGACTGGATATTCAGGTAGAGAACTATGCAGATCACTCCGATGACATCAGGTAAGGCAGATCGAGAAAAGCTGAAACTAGTGACACTGTTTCAACCACAGGTCCAACTTCATCTTCCATGCAACTGATCCCAACTCCAACAAAATTGTGGACTTTGACGAGTTCTTCATGCGACTGACAGAGAGTGGGGGAGACAAGGACACCGAGCTGATCACCAAACTGAGCGCCATTTGCCCAGTGGAAAAGATCACAGTTAGCTGTCAACCTACCAGAGTGCCAGCCATGGCCACACTGTTCTCTCCTCACTACAGGCCTTTGCCAACATTGATGACTACGCATATCCAGATGCTCTGGACACACAGACCATTGTCATCCTGGTCCTGTGTGTCATTCTGTCGGCAGGGGCTATAACCACACTAATTCTCTCCATTCGACAGAGATGGGTGTACGTTGTACAGTACAAAAAAGGCAAAGAAAGATTTCTGAATAAAGGAAATGCCAGTACTAATACTAGAACACATTTTTTGGCGTGAGAATGCAAAAGTCACAGGTGCATGTGCGCACAGCAATGATTGCAATTACGTATGTGTGATTAGTTAGGACATTATGGTGGCAATGTTGGATACCACAAATGGAAAAAATTTCGCATTCAGAAACTACGTAGGCTTGTTCCCAATTAGTGTACTCAAGGTAAGGGTCACCTCTCAATAAAGGACTCTTTTCACTACAAGTCTCAATCTCTCTGTTTTTTTGGTTTTTTCCTTCGTTGTAGAGCTCTCCACGACACAAGGAGTCACGTTGTTTCTGGCAGATGCTGTCTCGGCATGTCCAGCTCTGCTCTCTCTGACGAGATGTCCACCCATGAGGAACTTGCAGCTGGCGGAGCTAAGCTCGGAAGGGAAGGACGTCACGGGTGAGTGGTGAGTTACCGTGACATCGCACAAACCCCTCTAGCATCACCATCTGTTGCAATAGGAACCAGCAGAATCGCTGTTCGTCCGACCCCGTACGACAACGGGGACGGATATTGACGCCTTTTCTCTCCCTCCCTCTTTCTTCTCCCCTCCAGTGGTCCTGAGTCCACGTAAGTTTGGACTATCAGTTCAGTGGGATACCTCACACACGGCTTCTCTCCCTTGTTTCAGGGGAGACATTAGCAGCTATGAACTAGAGACAATCCCCTCTCTATGAGTCTCAGGAGTTACGCTGGAGATGTGTGATCCGCTGTGTCTGATGAAGAAGAAGGTTATGAGTGGTTGTCGGACATGCTGGGCTTATAGTGTGAGTTCTTGTTGATGAGTACAGGGACGAGGCGGACGATGCAGAGCTACTTGCAGATAGCTGCTCTCAAACTTTCCCGAAGACGAAGAAGAACCAGAAGACAACTCAGTTGTGACTGCATCTGAGCTGAATCTACTTATGCCACCTAGCGATAGACTCTCGTATTTAGCTAGTAGATAGACACATGTCATAATCCTTGCGACAGTATTTTACTCCTAGCCTTTTTTGTAACCATACCATGGAACTAGAAACCTTTATTATTACCCTTGGACGCTTGCCTGAGTCGAGTGTCTCATTGCCACCGCAGCTGATCCAAATCTGCGCATGCGTATATATATGGCCTCGTTCCAGACACACCTCCTTCTTTCATTCAGGAAGTACGCGGTGCGCTCCCCTCACTTTAAGTCAGAGGTTCTTTCTTCATACCGAGGAAAGGAAAGCTGTAGCCATTCTATAATGCTATACATTGCGGGATCTGACGTCCGTTTGCTTGTATTCTAGGTCGCCATAGACCATGTCTACGTTCTACGGGGTAGACTGCGTGAACGCCCATCTTCTCGGAGGACTGTAGTGCTTCGCTACCTCTGCTCGTGCGTAGTAATGGAATGCCCGTGCTCGCTCGCTCTGCCCCTTCTCTCTCTCTCTCTCTCTCACTCACTCACTCTCTCTCTCTCTCTCCCTCTCCTCTCTCTCTCTCTCTCTCGCTATGGTTCAGCCGCGAGCGGTGTTCGTTGCCAGTGCTCCATGACGTCTACCGAGGAGGAAGAGCTGGACAAACTACCATTCAGTGACATGGTCATGCGACTGGCGGACAAGGTTTGCTCCCGTTCCGACCAATAGCTACTAGCAATGCTGTCTCCTCTGGTGCCCAGGCGACGTCTCTGGTGAAGGAGAGGATTTTAGCTGAGGATCAGAGCAAAGTGTCTGACAGAGAGAAGGAAGCCAAGGTTCAGGGGTTTCTGAACCAGATTGTCGCCACCAATGCAACACTCCACGTCGCATTCCCAATCCACAGGTCAGCCCCTGGCCTAATTCCTAATCTCCAGACCAGGCCCTGCTCCCCTATACACTCTTGGAATATTCACAATCTGTTATTGCAGGGACGACGGTACGATGGAGGTGATTCATGGATGGAGGGCCCAACACAGCCAGCACCGCACCCCCTGCAAGGGAGGTGAGCCCAGATCATGTTACAATCTCCACCCACTCCACTATTGTCTAGGTTTTATCTTTGGTGCTCAGGCACCCACATACACTACTCTGTGGTTGGTCACTGTACAATCAGAATGTGCAAACAGAAGTGTGGTACATGCATAGTCTCTTGTTGTTGTATATACCTGCCCTGGGGAGTGAATTCTAAAACATTTACTATCGGCTTCTGAAGGGAAATGTCTTGCAAATTCAGAAGACTAGGTGTAGGCTTGCTTTGCATTACTGTTTATTACTGTGCAGTGTTGCAGCAGCAGAGTGTGTGTCTGTCTCTGCAGGTATACGCTACAGTGAAGACGTGACAGAAGACGAAGTCTGTGCACTGGCTGCTCTCATGACATTCAAATGTGCCATGGTGGACGTTCCCTTCGGAGGGGCCAAAGGCGGAGTCAAAATCGACCCCGCCAAATACTCGGTTAGCTGGTCATGTGACTTGTTGTTGCCATGACAACCGAGTTGTGGCAACAGGTTAAAGAGCTGGAGAGGATCACGAGAAGGTTTACGATGGAGCTGGCCAAGAAGGGATTCATTGGTCCTGGGTGAGTGGGGTCAGACAGACTTTACTGGTAGAAATATTTTTTCTGGTAAAGTGTGAATTGTATTACGTATAATATCGTGGCACTGCCTACTGCTGTGACTAAACACTCTGTGTACTCTCCGTTACTTTTGTATATAGCTCCAAGAAAAATGTCATTAATGACGAGGTAATGAGGTTTAGCAGATGGACACACTCCTGGGAATAGTAACTTTTCCACACCCAAATTATTATGTGACTATTAGCCTCACAATTAACTTTACCTGTCGTACAATGTCTCTCTGTAGACTGGATGTGCCGGCCCCAGACATGGGGACAGGAGCGAGAGAGATGAGCTGGATTGCCGACACCTACTCCATGACCCACGGCTACAACGACATCAACTCGTATGCCTGTGTCACTGGGAAACCCATCCCCCAGGGAGGAATTCATGGCCGCATCTCCGCCACTGGTCGAGTATGTGTCATTTCACTCTTGTCAATGAAGAGGTTTATCTGTGTAATAGTCTGCTGCTAAACCCACAAATACATCAAAAATGTGGTATATTTCACTCCTGACAGGGTATCTACCACAGTGTGAAGAGTTTCATCAGCGAGGCAGAGTACTGTAGTGCTGTGGACATTATGCCTGGTATCAATGGAAAGACCTTCGTTGTTCAGGTATGACGTGTATGCAGTAGAACCCATCTAAATTGTACACCCAATGGGATCGAATATAATGTCTAGTCAGGTGTCCTTATTTCAGGGGTAGCATAATATTGTCTCAGTACTAGTCAGGTGTCCTTATTTAAGGGGTAGAATATTGTCTCAGTACTAGTCAGGTGTCCTTATTTAAGGCGTTCTTGGAGAAGGAAAGGTTTAGACACGTGTCCTCGTTTGAGATGCGCCATTAGACAGAAGTTCAAGACCAGCCTGTTTGACATCTCCACATAGAGTTCCATTCCTCTTTCGCTCTCAGGGGTTTGGTAATGTTGGACTCCACTCGTGTCGCTACCTCCATCGCAACGGAGCTAAACTGGTGGGTGTGGCCGAGAAAGACGGCAGTATTATTAACTACGAGGAAGGCATCGACCCAAAGGAGCTGGAGGATTACAAACTGGTCAGTCCATTTCCTGGCCCTAGGAGAAGTGACTACACCTCATCCCCTCCATCAGGAACACGGGACTATTGTGGGATTTCCCGGAGCCACACCCACCTCTGAGAACCTCCTGACTGCAGACTGTGACATCCTCATACCTGCTGCTGGGGAACAAGTCATCACTTCTGACATCGCACGAGACGTCAAGGCCAAGGTGAGGGGGCGGGGACTGGGGAAGTGTGGCATGATGTAATGATGATGTAATGGTTCAGATAGTGGCAGAAGGAGCCAATGGGCCTATCACTCTGCCAGCCGAGAGGATTTTGCACAGCAAGAATGTGTTGGTTATTCCTGTGAGTCCCTATCTCAGATGCTGTAGGCTGAGTTGTTTCATATTGAGCTGACAGGATATGTTTGCCAATGCTGGTGGAGTGACAGTCAGCTATTTTGAGTGGCTCAAGAACCTCAACCACGTGTCGTACGGGAAACTTACCTGGAAGTACGAGAGGGAGTCAAACCAGCATCTTCTCGGTATGACTGGCACCTCTTTGGTACACTTTCAGCTAGTAATTCCGTAATCCCACCACAGCTAGTAATCTTCTAGTAAACTTACCACGTACCTCAGCATGTAATATTAGTAGGATTACTCTTCATATCTGCTGAGGTAAGAGTAGCTGAGCAACACATCTGCCAAAGTTAATCTGCAGAGAATTATCAGTAATCCTACCTCGGCAGATGTGTCACTCAGCTAGTAATCTTCTAGTATTCTTGTCGGTGATAACCTCTCTCCTTGTCCAGAGAGTGTGCAGACCAGTCTGGAGGCAAAGTTCTCCGGAGGCAAACCAGGCACCATTCCCATCACACCAACTGCTGACTTCTCCTCCAAGATGGCGGTAGGCCACACACCCTCCCTGAAGGGAACTGTTCTAAAAAAGCCCACCACCCTATAGGGAGCTAGTGAGAAGGACATCGTTCACTCTGGTCTGGAGTTCACAATGGAACGATCCGCCACAGTCAGCCTGACTCTCTTACAACCTCCCTAATTCATGTCTTTGTCTCTTCCTCTGACAGCAAATCATGGAGGCAGTGAGGGATTACAATCTAGGGCTGGACCTGCGTACAGCAGCCTATGTGTGTGCTCTGAGGAAGATCTACAATGTTTATCGCGAGGCTGGCATCACTTTCTCCTAGTTCCCTCCATTAGCTGCTGACACTTCACTGCCCCCAACTGCAGATTTATATCTAGTTCTTTGTGATCTGTATGTAGGTCGTGGTCTCATTGATTGTGTTGCTGGCCTATTGGTTGGAATCTCCTGGTGTAAGAGCACGCGCGCTGCTCAACTTCGGCGCTGCGCATGCGCGCGTCGAACGAACAATGTGTAGGTGTGGTCAGTAAAAGGGGGCGTTGCCCAAGCATTGGGTCGAGGCTAGCGGTAAGGTGCAGAGAGATGTTGGTGCAAATCCCTAGCATTTCGGACGCCGTCGACGACCGCGGACGCCTCTACAAGGCTAGTTCCAACATAGCTAGTGAATGCTGTGTATGAGAATGTTAGTGAATGCACAGGTGTTCAATATCTACATCGGAGGACACTACCACTGCTCCCTGCGGTACTCCCATCTCCTCCACTTCAGCCAAGAGGTACAACTCTCACGTAAGGATCACGTGATACTCAGGTGATCTCGTTTTCAGCTGGGGAGGAACTTTGACACATCCGGACTTGATGAGTTTCCTACCAAAAGAGTGTTCTCACTCACAGCGGCCCAGCTGGATGAGAGGAGAGCTGGGCTAGAGAGGTACCTTCACTCTGGTAGGTCACATCTCGTCAGCTGTGTCCTTCTTAACCCTTTCCCCACCACTCAGTCTGTCAGGACAGGGTTATTCAGCAAAGTGACATGCTGAAAGAGTTTCTCGTGGCAGCTCAAAAGGTATCCTGTTGTTATGACGATATAATTGTAAATTACTTGCAACACACAGGCATCCAGTGGGGTCACTGATGAAGATGTTTCCATGGAGATATTCCTGATCAACGGGAACTCTGTGACAATCTCAGGACAGTCTTTCTCACGATCTGATGAAGTTTTAGAGGTGGGTGTGTGCACCTTGTTATTATGAGGGTAGGTATGTAAAACTGGAGGAATATAGATAGAGTTGCTATTTTTATTTCTGAAACGAAAAATGTTTGCAAACAGGAGTTTGGGAACAAGTTTGTTTTGAAGCAAAAAAATTCTGAGGGTCAGTAATTTCCTTTGAAGATAGTCGCAATATGCATGGTGCATTTTTAAATGGTGGAAATCCTCAGCTGTTATTGAGACCTCATTTTCCTCATGACAACAGAGAGCAGTTGTGAAGATAGGAGCGGATCCTTCGCTGACTTACTACTTCTCTCTCTTCCTGGAGGAGGAGACTGGAGACGGCTGGACATGTGGGTCCCCTCTCTCTCCCTCAGACATTCTGTTCACATGAACTAACTCTCTCTGTGTCCAGTGTACCGTCATCTACAGGACCATGAAGCTCCATTTGTCTCTCTCAAGACCGTCAATTCCAACGGCTCCTTCAGGATCACAGTCAGAATGAGGTCAGTGAGGGGTGTGGCTGGTGGGTGTGGTTTAAAATGCTCCACCCACTCAGTTTCTGGGGGCCTGAGATGGTGTCTGGAGTGCTAGCTGACGAGGCTGCCACTAACTTGCTCTATATTGAAACCATAGACCACATCACCAAAGGTAATTGTTAATATGTGCACCTTGTGGCACGTGAGACAATAGAGTGTGAGGTGGATCAACATTGTTATTTCATGGGAGAGGGGGTGGGTACGAAGGTGATGTCATGATTATGTCATGTGATGCAGGGGAGTGGGAGGTGGGGAAGGAGGTGAAGGAAAAACTAGCAGAACTCGGAGCCAAATCACTCAAGAAAGAGGTGAGATTCCCTTCACTCAACGTATACCATAAGTTTATTGGAAAGTGGTGTTTGAGATGAGCCATCCAAATCAGTTTACCCAGCAAGTAATATGCAGCAATCTGTGTAACACATCTCCCCACAGTACATGGAGACTGCATCCACCATCCCCCAGTTTGCCTACCAACAAATGGAAGGATTGACATTTGACCATCCCTCTGAAGATCTGCATGGATTTGCCCGCATCGGCCGAAGAGAGATTGTGACATATACCACTGAGGGAGAGGGAGAATGGGGCGGGGCACAGGGTCACGGGGTGCGTTGTCGTAGTTACCAACTAACCAGGATTCGCTGCTGGAAAGTCGGCTACTGGGTGAGTGCTGTCTCAGCAAATTTTCGTTTGCCAACTGTGGCATCCTCATCAGGAGAGTGGAGAAAAGTGGCTGGCATTTCACTATCACCATGGCGACACAGAGGAGGACTTTGTGTGGGTTCGTTTGGTTGGCAAGGCAACCATCTTTCTCACCCTTTGTATCCAGTCAGCAGTCAATGAACTGATTCGAGTGAGCCAATATTATCATGGACTGGGGGGGCACTTTGTGTGCTACGTATACTCTCATACCCCCAATATATATTAATACATGTGATGAGTTATTGCGTTTGTGTTGTGGTTCGTGTGATTCGTGCAGATAAAGAGAAAGCAGAGTGTTAGGTTGCCAAGCGACGGTAGCCAGAGAAGGAAGACTGCTCTGCCCATCGTCAAGTTTCACGTCTCCTCACAGAACACAGGCAGTCGCAGGTGAGGCAGGGAGGGGCGAAGATCTTTGTTCGTATATACACCTATTATTATCTAGACTATGAGTGTGTGATTTAAACAGACTATATATACTGGAACCATGGGCCCACTTTCTGCCTTCTGTAGGGAGAGTGAGGCCTCCCAGGGGTCAGAGGTAACAGATGGACCTGAAGAGGTAGACTCCGCCCACCAATTACCAGGTCTGGAATGTAACTGTCTATAATAATGCAGATGAGCAGTGGAGACCTGGGGAAAGGAGGGGCAGGAGCCGAGAGGAGTGCTGTCTGTGGGATGGACCTGGACACCAAGACTGCCACTGTCAAATTCTCAAAGGTATAGTATATACTAGTGCATAAGCCACACCCACTGACCACACCCATTTAATTACTAGACATCAGAAGAAAACTCATTTGCCGACGGAACAGAAGATGACATATAAACAGCACCCATTGTTATGTTTTTATTTTTGCCTTCCACCCTGAGTTAGAGTTTTCTGTCTTTTTATCCTGTAAACTAGCAATTTTTTAACTTTGATTTGTTGTGTCACGTAACTCGTGAGTGAAAAAACACGCAGTAAATAGCATCACCTGCATAGTCTGAAAGCTGTTATACTACTAGTTTTGCTATAATAATAGTGTGGCTAAAACAAGTGACCAGTGCATCAGGAGGGCCAAAAAGCACCGTAGTCAGCTGCTGTCAGTGCCAAAGATCTAGAAGGCATATACCCTATTAGCCCATTCCCTATGTCACTAGTTCTTCCTCTTTTTTCGAACCGTTTTTCTGTGTCATTACGAAGGTTGTTAATGAGATGATACAGAGATAGACTAGAGAGGTTTGAAGACAGTGGGAGTAGTCCATGTCGGGACTGCAGCACTACAGACAGAGAGAGAGCACACTGCTAGAAACTTACTACTAACTCGGAATAATTCGACACTATTTTTTACCCTCGGCACGCATGCAGAGCAAAAGTTACGGTACTTGGTTCGTGAGTATCTTTGTCTGTCGATACCAACCAACACGTTTAGCACTACACTGGCTTGGCTGGCAATCTTCTAAAAGTCCATGTGCAGTGCGCCTAGGGTTTGCACTTTAGTACTTTTACTTTTTAACAGGTACATGTAGCTTTCACACATATACACATTATTATGCAAATCTGCCAAAGAGTTTTAAGATAGAGGGACTGTCTCTTACCTGGTGGAAGTAGCTCCCTGGGAGACAAAGACAACAGGCAATCTGGCCGGAAACATTGGCTGACCCCTTGCCCCTGGCCTGCAGCCGTTAATGATCACATGAGACTCACATGACATCACATGAGCTCACAGGTTGGGAGGAATGCCGGGGTGAGGGAGAGTGTGGAGGGGAAAGTTTGGAGGAAGACCAGCAGGCTGGGGGGAATGCCAACAACAGTGCATTACATTAGAATTCAAGGGATGAACTCATTTCTTTAACTGTAAGATTCTGTGGGCCGGAGTATGTATTTGTACTGAAGGACATCGGGAAAAGCTTTCTCTGTGTAATTCTCGTTTGCTGACTAGAGCATCATCACATTTTCTCCTAAAGTTTCCTGGTAAAAAAAACGTACCCCCATAGCGAAGAAGGGCGGCATGGGGAGGGAGGGAAGCCCACTCTGGGAGGTGAGAGCCACTCCAGCCGGAGGAGGACCAGGAAGAGTGCTCTTGTCTTTATGACGGTAAGTGATGTGGGCCTCTAGATCTCGCTGGGACAGGTAGCTCCGCCCACATCCCTTGTTGTCATAGCTACAGCACAGACAACCGCTGGACTAAAACAGCACTTTACACTTTAGGCTAAGATACACGATGACACCTTCGTTTCCATATCTATTCTTTATCTCATCCAACAAAGCTGTGTGGTGCATCTAGACCTAGGTCTTGAACTTAAAGAACATGTGTCAACTACTAGGTAGTGCGGTAGAAAGGCAAGGCAAAGCAAACAAGACACACCCATTTCATGTCTCTGAATCCATTACAGCTGTCAGGTGACCTAAAATGCATGGTCCCCATCTCACCGTCCTCCTCCATGTGTGCAGATGTATACATTTCCCATCGAGGCCTCTTCAAACATCTGTTCTCCCTCTCTGCAACGAGGACACACCCCTCCTGCCTTCTTAGCACAGTCTCGACAGAATGCATGGCGACATCTCTTCTACACGCACACAATGGGTGGGTAAAACATAAGGTCAACTCTCTATGAAAGACACCCGCAGCATTAATAGGGGCACCTCTGAATGAAGGTCACTTTAGTGTACCCAAAGTTTCAGAGGTCAAACGTACCATTCTGCCGTATATGAGTACAGGTAGACAGCAGATCTCACAGATGTGCATGAGAGGGTCCTGCACTGCTCGACCCAACAAGTTCATCTTCTGGTCCCAGCGAAGACTACCTCCTGCACACACAACATTCACATGTTCATAGAGGACAAGATGATGGAGGTAAAAAGCTTGCTAAGGGATGTACATACTACATACAAGGTAGTAAGGTAGGTACACATCACTGACAGACGGACCGGTCTCCAGGGCACTCTCTGGGGGGACTTTCCCTGACACAGAGACAGTTGTAGTCATGGTGACATGTTCAGGGGGTTGGGGGATGCTGGTAACGAGGTGGGCATGGTCAGTGGGAGGTTGATCTGTTTCAGGGAGGGGGTGTGGCTTGGGGGAGCGCGACTGGAGATCAGAGGGAGGCGGGGGTGGAGGAGGAGAGGAGGAACCGATGACGTCTTCCACAACACCAGAAGTCTTGCCTCCTGCAGTGGAGTCACGTGACTGACTACTTACTGGGTGGCTAAAACCTTTCTGCACACCTTCTTTCTTCCGTCCTCCATCGCCGGGTGAGCGGTGAGGCCCGCTGTCCTTCCCTACCGCCGGTTTCAGCTTCAGTGCTATGTTCCGCCTCACCCCTTCCATTTGACGCGCTCCTTTTTAAAACATGCGCATAAAGTATGCGCAACTCGTCTACATTTTAAAAACTGCGCATAACTTTATGCGCAATACACAGGCTCCGCCTACTTTGGCGTTTATTTGGCGGGACTTTGGCGGGAAACGTTAGTACTCCCATTTTCCACAGAGCAGCAGCCACACCAAGTTTCTTTCAGTCCTTAGCAGAGACTAAAGGTAAAAAAGCCTCGTGTGTACCGAAGTCTTTATGGATATGGGTGACGGTATGTTTTGCAGATGTTTGAGGCGAAGTTAGCTCAGAGCAGTTTGCTGAAGAAAGTTCTGGACGCCCTGCGTGAAATCGTGGAGGATGCAAACCTAGACTGCTCCTCTGACGGTGAGCCTCTGTCTCTCTCAACTAAACTTGATAGTTCAACCCCCTGTCTCTTTGTGGCAAGGAATCAAATGTCAGGCAATGGACAGCAGTCATGTGGCTCTCGTGTCCTTTGACCTCAGCTCTGATGGCTTCGAGCCCTACCGCTGTGACCGCAACATCACTCTTGGTCTCAAACTGGCCACGTGAGGGAGTGTTCTCTTCTCTAATTTTGCTCTATAATATCCACTGTGCTTTCAACTTTACCCCCATGTCGCCCCAAACATTCTCCACTCTTTGGGGGTTTTTGCCCTATCTTGCCCCGAACCAGGGCATTTTCTGCCTATCTCGTTCCTAATTTCATATTTTCTCTATTCTTGCATACACCTGTAGCATGACTCGAGTGTTGAAGTGTGCTGGAAATGACGACTCCATTACTCTCCGGAGCCAGGACAACACTGACACCCTCACCGTCCTCTTTGAGAGCCCCAGTAAGTCACGTGACCTGTCTCCAATGTCACATGACTGTCATGTGACCCACAGACCAAGACAAGACCTCTCAGTTTGAGGTGAAACTGATGGACATAGACACTGAACACCTCGGTATCCCTGTGAGTTCTGTACTATTGCACCCAGACACCGCACTAAAGAGAGGTAATGGGTCTGGTAATAAGTGTTTTCAACCAATCAAGCCGTCTTGTAATTAGTTTCCTTTATTGAGGGTGGGGTCTTAGACTTCAGTCATGTGACCTCACCGGTTTGTCATGTGACCTGTGGCAGGAATCGGAGTACAGTGCGGTGGTCCAGCTGCCGTCAGGGGAGTTCCAGAGGATATGTAGAGACCTCAGTCAGTTCGGAGACAGTCTGGTCATCGCCTGCACCAAAGATGGTGTGGAGTTCTCAGGATCTGGTCAGTAGCAATGTCACCAATGTTTGGAGCGAGTTTTTGGAGATATGGACTTATAATAATTATACTAGTTTGGTTTTCTCTTTGTATTTGCCAAGTATAATACTAGCGCCACCGTCCATGTGCCACAGGCGAGATTGGAAGTGCCAAGATCAGCCTGAGGCAGCACTCGATGGTGGACAAAGAGGATGAGCAGGTGACAGTTGAGCTGAACCAGCCTGTCACCCTCACCTTCTCCACACGATACCTTGTCTCCTTTTCCAAGGCCACTCCTCTTTCCTCCTCTGTTACCCTCTCTCTCAAGGCCGAGACTCCACTTGGTAGGCAACATTCCTTCCCTAACTGTCATTTAATTCACCCATTTTTATACCTATTTGGTGAGAAAAGCCAGCCCACCTACTCCACCTACTCTTCTCAATTGGCACACTTACGTTCCTTTGCATGCTATTTTCTACTCCTTCCCCCAGTGGTGGAGTACAGGATCAGTGATGTGGGTCATCTGCGTTACTACTTGGCTCCAAAGATTGGAGATGATGAGGAGACAGAACACATCGATGACTGCTCCTAACTCTCTCACTCCCTGTCTGTCTAATGTTCAGAGACTGCTGCTTTAATTGTATAATACAGCTATAATAATATACCACATCATTATGACATGACATACAGTGTACATGACAATATTAGTGGAGAGAAGTGCAGGCGACAAAGCATAGTTGTCATGTGTTAGTTGGTTCTGAGCTGCCATATCTGCAAATGACGATGTCATCATTAGATCATGTGACTCATCATGTGACACCCACCTGTATATAAGCCTCAGCCAGTGTGATCATCTGAGGCAGTAGGTCTTGAACGTGGAGGTCCTGTAACTCATACCACTGGTTGGCTCCCTGTGTTTGCTATAGTAAACATTTGGTAACCATGGTAACACTTACCATGTGTCTGACGTGAGCTCTATAAGTTCCCTTCCCAGCTCCTGGGAAATACAGCATTTACACTGATTACATTCTTTTCATCATGGTACATCACTGTATCAAGTTTCACGTTCATCAAGCAAGTTATAGGCACAAATATGCAAGTTTTTTTTCATTGCCTGAGGCGATTATTTTGGTAATTATGATGGTTGCATAAGTATGAGTACAAAGTAATTCACTTTGGTGAGCAGCTATAATTATAGTAGCTTCCCAATTACATGTTACAAAGGAGTATAGTAGCGTATTATCATATGTAAGTTGAGGCCACCTGGTTGTCCGTCGTGGCAGATGTTGGCCATGAGGTCGTAGACAGTGTGAGGATGAGCATCCTGCACCTCCTGGTCAGATGACAGGAACTCTGCCATGTCAATATCCCTGTGGGGGCTCTTATTAGAGTGACTGTAGCTGCAATCTCGTACCCTCTCCAAAAGTTGAGAGATTTCTTGGTTGTGCTAAGTCAGTTGTGCTACTAGTTTCCAGTTAACCAATGAAATCACTGAATGCAAGTGATTACAAGCTCCATGCTAAGTCAGTTGTGCTACTAGTTTCCAGTTAACCAATGAAATCACTGAATGCAAGTGATTACAAGCTCCATGCTAAGTCAGTTGTGCTACTAGTTTCCAGTTAACCAATGAAATCACTGAATGCAAGTGATTACAAGCTCCATGCTAAGTCAGTTGTGCTACTAGTTTCCAGTTAACCAATGAAATCACTGAATGCAAGTGATTACAAGCTCCATGCATGCTGAGTAAATACGCATGCAATTGTACAAAACTGATGATTCAGCACAACCAAGAAATGACTAAAAATAGTCACCATAACCGTGTTGGGTCTGGCAAGGGACTAGAGATAAGAGAAACTGACTTGATGGGGAAGTTGACAATTGTCGGATTCTTCTCCACAAAGAAGTTGTTCTTAGTGAACCTCTGTGGACGGGGAAGACATGGGGTCAGAGGTCAGGGGGAGGTGGGCGGAGCTAACCTTGATACAGATGATGAGGTAAGGAGGGAGTTTCGTTAGTTCAAACCTCTTTACATATGACTCTTTATGTGTCTTGTACTCCTGCATATTGTATTATGATGTCAATGGAAATATGGGAGATGCAAGAGAAAGGCAAGAAAGAACCCCACAACACGTAAAAAAACTCTTTTTCCAAAGAATTGAGCTGAGACTCTGTGATGACAGTAAACGTGGTGAGAACAGACCTTCTCATGAGCTCCGTCAAACTTTGAGAGAAGATCAAAGAGAGGGATTTGAGGAATAATGTTCCTCTCTAGCTCATCCTGTGTGTGTGTGGAGGGGACAGTTGCTGAAAAGGACTGTACTGCAGTTATAGAGAAACAGGACCTGGAAGAGAGGTGTTACTGGCAGGTCCAGAGAGAGGTACAGAAATGGCAACGTCTCCACTTTCTCTGGTTGGGGTACGAGGGAAGACAGGGAGGGAGGGAAGACAGGGAGGGAGGGAGAGATAGTACAACGAAACCATAGGCAACGCATCACATACATACTTCAAAGGAATTACAGTTTGAACAGCTACAATAAGTATATACGTACATAGAATCAGACAAACTAGCTATTATTATATGGAGGCTCACTTCACTTGCTAACAAACAGACCTTTGTACTCCTCCCTCTCCATCAGCCTGACCTTGTCCTACTCAACACAAACACAGGTCACCATGGCAACAAGAGAAGCCCCACCCACCTCAGAGGCGGGGGGAAGTTTCCTGGTGTAGATCCTCATGGTTCCCTGGAAGATGTTGTGGACCTCACTGGAGCCAGGTCTCCTGTTTCCTCCCAGAGCAGAGTGGAGGGTGTGCAGCAACCACACCAGGAACTCAACCGGGTCACCTGCACAGACCACACCCACTGACCACACCCACAAGCCACACCCTTTACACTAACAAACTTGGGGGCACAAATTGTGTCAATATATATACAGGATGGGAAATTTGTGCTCCTTTATGTTAAATAATTTTCTCCCTTTCCTGGTTTCCTACTACAGAAATACTGAATAGCATTCCAAGACCACACCCCTGACCACACCCACCTTGTTCGGTGATTTTGAACCTCTTCTTACTGAGTATAGAGACAGCCTGCAGCATCTCGTGGGGGCTCACATGGGATTTGAAATTACGAGGGTTCCACAGTTTTCTGAACAGTTCCCCAAGTCTGCGGACTGCAGCATCAGAATATCAGGGGAGGGGGCACGCGGTATTAGTTGACAATTTATGTGCACGTATTGTATGTGTATACCAGTATGATGACTCAACTAATTCACTATTTCACTCACTCCGGTACAAATAAGAATTAATTTGGGTTATGTCCAGAGAACAAAGAAGTCTTCGACTGTATCATGCCATAAGGGGGCTGTGGGTTTTCACTCACCCAGCATGAATTTCTGGTCCCCGGGGGGCCTCTTGATGTGTGAGTAGTTTGAGGGGCGGAGGAGATAGTCTCTGAGAGGTGTGACGTGAGCCAGGCAATGGAGGATGACGTTCATGTAGTCGTTAGCCTTGATGTTATTGAGACCCACAATACCTGGGGAATGGAAGGACAAACGAATGGGGAATGGCAACAACAAAGGAATGGGAAAATATAAGAAGGAAAAGAAGGAAAGGGGAATGGGAGAATGTAGTGGAATAAGGGAATTTAATAAGGCCATACCAGGGAGGTATTTGGTCCCATCCAGAGCAATGGATCGTTTGGAGGATGAGTCCAGAGAGGCCACATGTTCCTGGGAGAAGGTTGGTCTCAGCATATACTGCAAGCCAAGGGGAGAGGGAGTCACACATAATTCTGAGTAATTCACTAATTTTTCGGTAGATGGCATATCGAATGTTAGTCAACAATACCAAGAGACAACTAGATTTGACAAAACCAACTTTGATGTCCTCCAGAGAGGGGTCAATGATCTGATAGTTGTCAGGGAGACAGTAGAACTCCAGTGACTCCAGATTCAGGAAGACATGATGACCCACCTGGCGGGGTGTGGAGGAAAGTGTAAAGGTAATGCTAAACCAGGGCTCACCTGTACACTGTGTGTGTAGGCATGCGAGTGTTGGCCTCGACCTGCAGATAAACATAGACCTCAAGCAACCTTTCCCTAACAGCCACTAACCTTGGAAATACTTGCCACAAACCATGCAGGCATAGACGTTGTTGTTGCTAAGAGACACGGAGCACAGTTTCTCAAAGTCAAAGTCGAGGACAGTGCGGTCAATGGTATCAAGGAACGGACAACTCCGACTCAGCGGGTGCTCTGAAATATCACCAGATGATTCATTGCATGCAAGAACTGTTCTAGGTGCCCTTATTCGGCAGGTGTCCTGATTTCACCAGGGAAGTTTATTATGGGTGGGGTGCCCACTGCAGGGGGACACGTGGGGTGGTGCGCATCAATTAGAGTTGGAGACCCACCTTCCTCAGCCTTCTGTACTCGTGCACGTTTCCTGGGAACCAGCATATCGTCGTCACTGGAGCGCGTTCCTTCATCCTCTTCGTCCTCTCCGTACGCCACCAGTGAGAGACTGGGCCGAGCGTCTCTCTGCGCCATATCGTGTGGGCGGGGCTGAAAGTCACGTGGTCCTCTCCCTAAAATTTTTTTAACTCCACGTGGCCACGTGGTGCAGCATGTAAAGTTTGAAGTGTGTGAGAGAAGCAGCAGTTTCGAGTTCTGAAGCGGAACTTTCTACGTGAAGGGTATGTAGACGGCGGAGATTTCCTCATCTGCACAACTCAGAGTGAACCAAGTCTCTATTATCTGCCGTATGGTGTTAGAATTCTGCCGGCAAATCTCTTTTTTAACCAGGATTGCAAGGTTGCCTCTGTTTTCTGCACTGTTCGCAGCGGAAAACTTTAACAAACGCGTACTGCTCTTGTGCAATTCATTGT